GCATCTTCCTGTGTGATCCCTGCATCTTCCTGTGTGATCCCGCGCATCTTCCTGTGTGATCCCTGCATCTTCCTGTGTGACCCCGCGCATCTTCCTGTGTGACCCCGCTCATCTTCCTGTGTGACCCCGCTCATCTCCCTGTGTGACCCCGCGCATCTTCCTGTGTGACCCCGCGCATCTTCCTGTGTGACCCCTGCATCTTCCTGTGTGATCCCTGCATCTTCCTGTGTGACCCCGCGCATCTTCCTGTGTGACCCCGCGCCGGGAAATGGCGACGCGCGTTCTCAATCCAAAGCCAAAAATGTCCGGAGCTCCATCAGGCCAAAAACATTTTCTTTATGAAAGTGGATGGAAACCGAATCCCGGGAATCTCATCCCAAATTTCCACGCCGAATCTTATTTTCTATTGTTATTAAAGTAGAATTAGGGTCTCATTTTTTTTGCATATATCTACCGCAAGCATTACCACCTAAGACCCCGCACAGCCCTCCTGAGACCCTGCACAGCCCTCCTGAGACCCCGCACAGCCCACCTAAGACCCCGCACAGCCCACCTAAGACCCCGCACAGCCCACCTGAGACCCCGCACAGCCACCTGCGACCCCGCACAGCCCACCTGAGACCCCGCACAGCCTCCTGAGAATCCCCACAGAGCAACATAGAGTATGTAGCGTCATATTATTCTGCATTGCTGGGATTTGTAGTCCTCTATAGCCGGTTGCCATTCGACATTGCTGTATAAGTATGGCTGGGATTTGTAGTCCCCAATAGCTGCTGGTATTCTGCATTGCTGTATAATGTATTACTACCTCAATCAGTTTCCCCTGTGACAAGATTGAGGGAAGAATGACATCTGATCCCTGTCCGTGTGCACCGAATATCATTAACAATTGCCATGGTGTGTTGAAACAGCCACTTGTAGTCGCCATCAGTAGTCTATGTAACAGGGTGACAACACAGGAGGACAATTGGGAGACAGGGACAAAGCGTTGTCACCCTATAACAGGAAGTACCTAAACAAGGACCTCCATGGCGGGATCACCGGGGATTTGTTTTTTTCTTGCCTCATGACATCATGTTAAAGGTTATATGCGATTTCAGTGATTGGATTTGATCTTCACGTTATTTTGTCCCCTTTAGATCCGGACGATGGAGGATCACCCTACTTCCCTCCCCGAAGCCGTGCTGGCCCAGCTGACCAAAGCTGAGGGAGAAACCCCGGGACAGATGTCCTCCAGGTCGGCCGCGATCTTGACCCGCAGGAGCTCGCACTCCGTGGAAATGACCCCGCGCTCGTTTGTGCGTTTGAGAAGCATAGAGGAGCGCCACGCCGCGTACTCCCGCCGCAGCTCCGTGGTCAGCAACGTTCCCTTTTCCCGCAAGAACTCCCTGTGCGCCATGGGCCCCAACAAGCGCTTCTCCCTGGGGCCCTGGGCCCACTACGGGCGCGTCAGCTTCTCCGGACTGCCCCTCTATCAGCCCATCGCGGAGATCCAGTACGAGAACACCTACAAGACCGGACCGGACCAGGACTGCAGGTTCAACCCAAGCCGGGCCCAGAAGGTTCTGGAGTCGGTGCTGAGGAACTACCTGGCGGGCACGAAGTACAGCGCCGTCACCGGCGGGCAACTGGCGCAGAACCTGTCCGACCTCGCCCGCAGCAAAATGAAGGAGCATTGTCCTCCCCGCTACAAGGTGGTGTGCAATGTCATGCTGGGCCAGATGGGCAGCCAGGGCCTGGGCGTGGCCAGCCGGGCCCTCTGGGACCCCCAGACCGATAACTTTGCATCAGCCACATATTCCAACGCCACCTTATTCGCGGTCGCCACGGTGCACGGGTTCTATTACGAGTAACCTCCCATATGGAGATCTACTATATGTATACGATGCAATACATACATTGTATTCACGCCCGACATGAACAAGGTCTCCCGTCGTATCACACGGACCGAAGAGATCCAGGAAACGCCTTCTGTGTAAAATAAATTCAATACGAATCTTATTCAACCTGCAGCTTTCATTACTTCCTGTCGTAGGGTGACTACACTCTGTCCCGGCGTAATTGTGGTCTTATGTTGTCACCCTGTCACATGGGCTTCTGATGGAGACCCCACAATTTATTACACACACACATGGGGTCCACTGTCACCATCAGGAAATGTCATGCAACCAATCGCTGGACTGCATGTAGACGGGCAGTGGCTGCCAAATTTTAGAGCAGGGGTAGCCAATCTCCGGCCCTCCAGCTGTGGGGGTGGAACTACAAATCCCATGAGGCATTGCAAGATTCTCACAGCCACAGGCATGACTCCCGGAAAGCGATGCATCATGGGATTTGTAGTTTCACCCACAGCTGTAGGGCCGGAGTTTGGCTGCCCCTGTTTTAGATTCTATGTGAGGCGACGGGCAGGGCCGGTGCTGCCACTGGGCAGCCGCCTGGGGCACAGCCTTGACCACTCACCCCCCACGGCGCCCCCCGTCTATTTCAAATTGCAAAAGCCAATAGCAGGCTGGCTATTGAGCCCGCCCACTGAGCAGAACTGAGAGACAACTGTCTCTTTCAGGCTCGGTGGGCGGGGTTTCAATAGCCAGTCTGCTGGCTATTGGCTACTTCAAATTAAATTACATCCACCTGTTGCCTGCAGAAGCTATGTGACACGAGAGACAGGGAGGCGGGGGGGGGGGGGGGTTTGAACTTGCTCTAGATCCAAGTGCATATATCAATTGCGGAGGTGTAAGGTACGATTGTTGTTAACCTGTTTACTCATACCAAATCCCCTTAGGCCCGGGTCACACCTGCGCGTTCCTACGCTCTGTAAAACGCTCAACATGTGAAAACCAATGATTGCCTATGGGCATGGTTCCCACCTGGGCGTTTTACAGCGCTGCAAAACGCCCTACGCCCAAAGTACAGGAGCTTCTTTGGGGCGTATTTGCCGCGCGTATCCATTGGGATACAGCCAAGTAGCCCTCGGAAACACGCATTTGTTGCACGTTTTTTACAGCAAAACGCGCATATTCGATACGCCTAGGTGTGAACCCAGCCTTAGGGTGTGACCAGTACTGTTCACGAACGTAGAGGCCTCTTTGTCCAGGACCTCTAGCTTAGGTCCTCATTGGTGACCTTTGTTTACCTGGGTTAGGTCTCAGGAGTGAGCACGTGTGATTTATAGGTATCTGAATCTCTCTGAAGTGTATCCAGCATGCCCATAGACCGTAGAGTAGGAATCCTGAGCAGTGTACGTCGGCTCCTCTAGCAATCTGATGCTTTCCACCTTTCGAAGCCAGTCTTGTACAGAGGGAACTCGGACGGATCTCCTGTATCGCGGTACGAGAGATTTTGCTGCGTTTTAAAGGAGAACTATGAGGTCAGGGCTTTTCCCCATAGTTCTCCTCAGGGTAACGGGAGGACACAAACTAGCGTCCTCCCCTCACCCTAAGCTCAGTATATAGGGAGCTACAGCTCGCGGTATACTGAGTCTCTCTCTCTCTCTCCCCCTCTCCCTGCACTATTTTTGCTACGCTGATCACTGTGGCGTCAATGGAACTGATCCGATCAGCGCAGTCTTGGGCTGAAACGCAATAAAAAAAAATCCCTTTTCAGATCAATGCCGTAACCACACAGAATCTAAGCCCATTCACCTCAGGGTGGCTGCGGATCAGACAGGTGACCCGTTTCCATAAACTTACATTGCAGAGCATTGTCCAGTTCACTCTTTGCAGCCAGAATCTAAGGCCTAGATGATTCCGGCTCTCAACTTCCGTCATGTACTATATACAGGTGAAACTCGAATAATTAGAATATCGTGCAAAAGTAATTGCTGCAAAAGGGGCCCAAACCAAGTACTGAGTACATATGCATGCTTGTACTTTTCAGAGGTCCGATATTGTTCTATGTACAATCCTTGTTTTATTGATTGCATGTAATAATCTAATTTTTTGAGGTTGTGGATTTGGGGTTTTCATGTGAACTTGCTCTAGATCCAAGTGCATATATCAATTGCGGAGGTGTAAGGTACGATTGTTGTTAACCTGTTTACTCATACCAAATCCCCTTAGGCCCGGGTCACACCTGCGCGTTCCTACGCTCTGTAAAACGCTCAACATGTGAAAACCAATGATTGCCTATGGGCATGGTTCCCACCTGGGCGTTTTACAGCGCTGCAAAACGCCCTACGCCCAAAGTACAGGAGCTTCTTTGGGGCGTATTTGCCGCGCGTATCCATTGGGATACAGCCAAGTAGCCCTCGGAAACACGCATTTGTTGCACGTTTTTTACAGCAAAACGCGCATATTCGATACGCCTAGGTGTGAACCCAGCCTTAGGGTGTGACCAGTACTGTTCACGAACGTAGAGGCCTCTTTGTCCAGGACCTCTAGCTTAGGTCCTCATTGGTGACCTTTGTTTACCTGGGTTAGGTCTCAGGAGTGAGCACGTGTGATTTATAGGTATCTGAATCTCTCTGAAGTGTATCCAGCATGCCCATAGACCGTAGAGTAGGAATCCTGAGCAGTGTACGTCGGCTCCTCTAGCAATCTGATGCTTTCCACCTTTCGAAGCCAGTCTTGTACAGAGGGAACTCGGACGGATCTCCTGTATCGCGGTACGAGAGATTTTGCTGCGTTTTAAAGGAGAACTATGAGGTCAGGGCTTTTCCCCATAGTTCTCCTCAGGGTAACGGGAGGACACAAACTAGCGTCCTCCCCTCACCCTAAGCTCAGTATATAGGGAGCTACAGCTCGCGGTATACTGAGTCTCTCTCTCTCTCTCCCCCTCTCCCTGCACTATTTTTGCTACGCTGATCACTGTGGCGTCAATGGAACTGATCCGATCAGCGCAGTCTTGGGCTGAAACGCAATAAAAAAAAATCCCTTTTCAGATCAATGCCGTAACCACACAGAATCTAAGCCCATTCACCTCAGGGTGGCTGCGGATCAGACAGGTGACCCGTTTCCATAAACTTACATTGCAGAGCATTGTCCAGTTCACTCTTTGCAGCCAGAATCTAAGGCCTAGATGATTCCGGCTCTCAACTTCCGTCATGTACTATATACAGGTGAAACTCGAATAATTAGAATATCGTGCAAAAGTAATTGCTGCAAAAGGGGCCCAAACCAAGTACTGAGTACATATGCATGCTTGTACTTTTCAGAGGTCCGATATTGTTCTATGTACAATCCTTGTTTTATTGATTGCATGTAATAATCTAATTTTTTGAGGTTGTGGATTTGGGGTTTTCATGAGCTGTAAGCCATAATCATCACAATGATGACAAATCACGGCTTGAACTATCTTGCTTTGCATGTAATGAGTCTCTCTCATATATTAGTTTCACCGCATAAGTTGCATTAGTGAAATAAATGAACTTTGCACCATATTCTAATTATTCCAGTTTCACCTGTAGATGTTCTGCCCTTTACAAGACCTGTGGCACGGTCATCCGTCTCAAATTCTTCAGACTACACCAAAGCATGTGCCTGCCTGCCTGCCTGCCCGCCCCCCTTCTTCAGACTACACCAAAGCACGTGCCCCCCATGCCTCTTAATTTGGATTTCAAGCCTCTTTTCCCTTCGTTCAGGTCCTGCGCTCAGGTTTCTGACGAGGTCCCTTTAACAGCCATTTGCACTGGAGTAGTTTTATATGCTGTGGCCAGTTGTGTTCCTCCTCCGAGTAAACCTGACCAATCTCCTAGTTACAATTATTCCAAGGTTCCCCTTTCACAACAGATTTGTCACATACACCCAAATCAACATTAGGCCGTCATCTCCCCCCCCCCCCCCCC